TATAGATATAGGTTTTTATGCCCCTTCTGTGTGATATAGGTTATTATTAGTGGAATCTGTAGGTAAGTTTTCAATACCCCCCATTCCACGTTCAAGCTGAGTTCCTGTGCCTTCATTAGACTCAAAGAACTGATGCTTCGTATAAGCTAAATAGATGCAAGGAGGAAATATTTTCTTACCCCTCTTAGTTATGTATGCTTTATTTCTTTAAAACTCTTCGAGGAGTCCTACAACATGATTTGGAATTCTTTGATAATTTTTCATGTGTTTGCTGACTATTACGTTGTTAGTTTTTAAATAGTTTTAATAATAAAATTATATTCATTCTTAAAAAAATAGTTGCATGCATTATTACAAAGTAGGAAACATGCATTTATTTTACTCAACAAGAACCTTCATCGATCCTGTACTTTTTATGCAATAGCGATATGCCAATTATGGTGCATTTTATTTTTTTTCCAAACCATCACCTTATTACATTATGTTGGGGGTGCCGTTGGATCTGATAATTTGGCTAGTAGTCCTGCTTTAGAATTCTTAAAATTACAGTATTTTAACTTTCAAGTTTCTAGTGTTACATGTATGAATGGTCCATGATTAAAACTTTCAACTCCACTCAAAGAACTGATGCTTCGTATAAGCTAAATAGATGCAAGGAGGAAATATTTTCTTACCCCTCTTAGTTATGTATGCTTTATTTCTTTAAAACTCTTCGAGGAGTCCTACAACATGATTTGGAATTCTTTGATAATTTTTCATGTGTTTGCTGACTATTACGTTGTTAGTTTTTAAATAGTTTTAATAATAAAATTATATTCATTCTTAAAAAAATAGTTGCATGTATTATTACAAAGTAGGAAACATGCATTTATTTTACTCAACAAGAACCTTCATTGATCCTGTACTTTTTATGCAATAGCGATATGCCAATTATGGTGCATTTTATTTTTTTTCCAAACCATCACCTTATTACATTATGTTGGAGGTGCCGTTGGATCTGATAATTTGGCTAGTAGTCCTGCTTTAGAATTCTTAAAATTACAGTATTTTAACTTTCATGTTTCTAGTGTTACATGTATGAATGGTCCATGATTAAAACTTTCAACTCCATATATAAATCGCAATTATTAGCACTGGTCTCTTATAGATTCATTACATGATAACCATCTAAAAATATCTTTTAACAACAAAAAGAACCATCTATTACATAATAGCCATCTAAAAATATCAACAAAAATAATCATCTATTACATGATAACCATCCAAAAATATCAACAAAAACAACCACTCATTGCATGATCATCATCCAAACACATACTAAAAATTAATTTGGTAAAAAAATAAAAAAATACTCATTTTCATTGAGTTTAATGACCAAAATATCAATTTTTTTGTCGATTTTACTTAACAAAAATGTCAAATGGTTTGGATTGAAAAGAAATTAAAAGTTGAAAGTATAAATTGACAAAAATAAAAATTCAAGGTTTATCTTGTTACAATAATCAAACTCTTTTTTTTGGTTATAATTTCTTCTTCTTCTTCTTCTTTTTTCCATAAAAGTAAGTTTTGAGAAATATACAAGTATTTAATGTTTTATTAATTAATATCTTAATAAGTATCGTTCATTATTTATGAAGTACATTACATGGGGGATCAGTGAACCACCATTGAAGTTACTCAAATTTGTCTTTTAAAATCAAAAACCTCTTGAAATTTCTGGTGAGTTCTCTATTTTTTTATGTCCCTTCTGTGTGTATATATTTACGATTATGGTTATTATTAGTGGAATTTTATAGATATAGGTTTTTATGCCCCTTCTGTGTGATATAGGTTATTATTAGTGGAATCTGTAGGTAAGTTTTCAATACCCCATTTCCACGTTCAAGCTGAGTTCCTATGCCTTCATTAGACTCAAAGAACTGATGCTTCGTATAAGCTAAATAGATGCAAGGAGGAAATATTTTCTTACCCCTCTTAGTTATGTATGCTTTATTTCTTTAAAACTCTTCGAGGAGTCATACAACATGATTTGGAATTCTTTGATAATTTTTCACGTGTTTGCTGACCGTTACCTTGTTAGTTTTTAGACATTTTTAATAATAAAATTATATTCATTCTTAAAAAAATAGTTGCATGTATTATTACAAAGTAGGAAACATGCATTTATTTTACTCAATAAGAACTTTCATCGATCCTGTACTTTTTATGCAATAGCGATATGCCAATTATGGTGCATTTTATTTTTTTTCCAAACCATCACCTTATTACATTATGTTGGGGGTGCCGCTGGATCTGATAATTTGGCTAGTAGTCCTGCTTTGGAATTCTTAAAATTACAATATTTTAACTTTCATGTTTCTAGTGTTACATGTATGAATGGTCCATGATTAAAACTTTCAACTCCATATATAAATGGCAATTATTAGCACTGGTCTCTTATAGACACCTAACGTTTCCCTTTTATTTGCTTGAAGTTCTCTCAAAACAGAACTGCATTGTGACACTTTCTAACTCTCTCTGTCTGTGGTGCATTGGTTAACTCAGTTTGAAATTTTAGATGTTTTGGTGCTTACTGGAAACATGAATTTTTGGGCATATTTTTCATTTAGTTCACTATGTATATCAAGCGAAAAGTGGTGTTGTCAATGTCACTTGGGGAAATTGTGTGATTTTGATACAATTTTTCTACCCAATGATACCAAAATCTCACAAGTGAACCAATGAGCCAACCTCTCTACAATGTAAACAATCATGGATAATACCCATTTTCAAACCATAGTTACCTATCAGGCCAATGAAGGGCCATTTTCACTATGAAAGTTTAGGTTGTCAAGTGTGAGGACATGGGTTGAATATGAGTTTGGTTGCTTTGTATGTCAATAATTAACCACTATTTCTGGTCAGGCTTGTGCTCAGTCCTTGGCAGCCACTGTTTCTTTAATTTAACCAACAGTGGGCGATAGGACTTAGTTGATTGAAAGGTAAATTGTTTACCATCAAGAAATCATTTAACTATTTCTTTAATTTAACCAATAGTGGGCAATAGGACTCCTCGAAGAGTTTCAAAGAACTGGATACACAGCAAATAAGGAACATGCCATGAAGGAGGAAATATTTTCCAGATTTCTTCAATTGTTCTTAACCGACGCTTAATCCAACCATATCTCCTTTCAGTTTTATCCAACTTTGCTAGTTCTAATGAAATAGTTAACATAAAAACTTTCAAGATGATGGTCATCAAAAGAAATATATATATATATGCGAGTGGTAAATGAACTAAATGAAAACAAAGTATAGAATTGGACAAACCAGCTCCTTCAAAGATCTGTTGATATGAAGTAAGCTCACTGCTGCAAAAATTTTGAACCAACTCTTCCCTTACAGATGGCTCCATGGCATCAACAACTAAGCAAGCATTTGCTAACTGCTGCAATAGATTACTTTCTTCAAAATCTGAATCCTAAAATCCTAAAATCAGAAGCACACACAAAAGAAGCCAATCAATGTTATGTTTTTCCATAGTAGAGTGGCTGCCTCCATAACCAAGATCTTGTGCACTCAACCCTCAAGAAATTACTCTCCACTTAAATTTATAATGGTAACTGGAAGATCAATAAGCACTTAGTTGTTACTACTGCTGCAGAGCTGCTCTGCTGCTGCTGTAGAGCAGTTTTTGCTACTGCTGTAAGTTGTTGCTACTGCCAGTTGCTGCATCTTTTGGGTGGCAAACCACCTAAGTGAGTTAGGCAGCTCACTAGTCTAACCAGTTGCTACTGCTGCCAGTTTTTGCTGCTGCTGCCAATTCCAGATTAGCTGGTTAGACTAGTGAACCAGAAATTCCCATTCAAATTGGATCTGTTTTACATGGCTAGAAAGGGTGGACAGAGTCATGTTTTTCTTTCTCTAATTTTTTATGGTTTGGAAGGTAATAAGTTATGAACATTAATTTTTGCAAACACGACCAATATCACTACTTCTAGGACTAGCAGGACAGGGCTTAGCATCATACACAGGATTGCCCTTCTCAATGAATGACATTATCTTTAATTTATATCAGGTCAGATTCTGTTCCCGGTGACTCTCAATTTTGGTTTGGTCCTAATGCAAGGGTTCTTTTTCTTTCTCTTTTCCTTTTTTTGATCTGTGTTGGAGTTTAAGTTGTTAGAGCTGGTAGTTTGATTGAGGTAGTTGAGCTATCAATTTTGGTTACTGGTTTGGTTCTGTGGCTGCTGCTGCTATCTGTCAATTTGATTTTGTGGCTGCTGTTGCTACTATTTTGGGGGTTTTAGTTTGCTTTCTTGTTTCTTTGGGTTATCAATTAAGAACAAAAACCAATCACGTATCTTATAACTAACAAAACCAAAATTGCTATATGTACATCAACCTAGCCAAAACTATAAAATACCGTAACTACATAGCAAAAAACATTCAGCAAGTAGCAAAGAAAGCAGCATGAGCAAGACATCAAATGAATATATATATATATATATATATATTTACACCTTCAAATCATTGTTCCCCTCTCTCATGAATTGGTAAGTAGCTCAGACATTTTGTGTGGCTTTCTGTGACTTCTTTTGAACTATTGCATTCACATTCAAAGCGTTATTGTGCATCTCATGCAATTCTTCTAGGTTTTCTTACAAAAGTGCATGATTGGGTAAAGATTTTGTTGATGGTTGGTGGGCTTAACAGAGGGTGGAGAAGTCTACATGATTGGGTTATTCTTACTGATTTTTTCTTTTTCTTTTTATTTTTGGTAACTGATAAGTTTCTCTTTCTCTTTGCTCTCTTATTTACTCTCCAGATTTGTTTCTCTTTGCTCTTTTATTTACTAATATATATATGCATTTTATTTTGGTTGACATGGATATGGATTTGGATTTATGGATGTGTCTTGAATTTTGGATTTGCTGTCAAGGTGTTGCTTATTTGGTAGGTTATGCCTTATTTTGAAAGTTATGGGAATTAGTTGTTTAAAGTCTCCCTCTAGTAACGTGCTATAATTATTTAGTTTTAAAAGCCCTCTCTCATGTCACTTACACTTAGATGTACACTTCAAACAACAAAATAAGAGAAAGGTGTGTAGTTTTTATCTATTGATGTTATAATTTCTAATATCGTTAGTGATATTATTAGAAGTTACATTTTTAACTTTGTGTTATAGGGCAAACCATGTAAACTCGCGATAGGTTCCATTGAAAATATTGTTGCTCATGGTACGGTGTATGAGAGAATTGAACACAATGAAGCCATTCATACAGTGCCATTAGGAGAATCCAATGTACGTGTGTCTATTGAAGTTGTTATTCAAAAAGATGCCCCTCTTCCTATACCTATCCCAGATGAGATGCTTATTGTTGGAGAAGCAGTGGGATTTTTTGTTGCTTGGCCCAAAAATCTTGTATTGGTCGGTGATGAGGTAAAATATTCAAACTTAGAAACTTTCAATCTTCATTTCCATGTTATATTTCATTGTTGTATTGTAATAGATGAATTGACCAAGCGATCAATATCCAACTTCAAAGAGTAGACATGGAGTACATATGTCATGTAAAAGAATTATCTGTTACATGTATCATGTTGTACATAAGGTAAGCAAAATTTTGCTACTTCAATAGTTATTTCTGCAGATTTTATGAATTACGAATTTAATTAAAATTTGTTTATTTTATTAGTCATCTCCATCAAGTGTTGAAGGCTTCCAATTGGAGGAAACAATTTGTATTTGTTAACCCTTGTGTCGTTAGTGGAAAAATTATGGCTGGGGAGAAATCAAAATCAGTGTTGCTTGCAAGAAGATTAGAGGAGGCTATGCTAGAACAATTGGTTTTAATTCCTTATAATATTGGGTAATTATCTAAAACTATTTTATTCATGTGTTCAAATGATAATAAACTTATTAAGTTTATACTTGTGACTTGTTCAATTGTAGGTACCATTGGATATTGTTAGTCATTGATCTAATATTGATGATTATGTACTTACTTGATTCGATTAATTCTAAAATAAACACAAGCTTTGAAATTGTAATAAACACGTAAGTTTGGCTAGCTCATACATTTTTAAGCAATTTGAGTTACTCTACAAATATTTTGACATTTGGAATTTCTTTTGTAAAGTGCTTTGAAAATTTATGAAACTACCCAAAGGAGGAGGAGGACCATTCCAGTTTGGAAAGTAGTTCAGGTAATCAATATCATTTTCTCTAATTTTATCATACTTATATTATGCTAATGATTGTTCAGCTTGATCATAACACTTTATATATAGTTTGTAATAATAATGAAAATGCTTTTATGTAGTCCCCGCAACAACCTACAAACGTGGAATGTGGGTTTTATGTAATGCGGTATATGAAAGACCTCATTAGAGATCAAAGCATCCTAAGAAAACAAAATGTGAGATAAATTCTAAACTTTTATTACTATTATATTCATGATACTTGTACATCTTCTTCATTATCTAATTGTTTGTAAATAACCTCTTGTAGTTCAATGGAAAAAAGACTTACACGGAAACTGAACTTGATGAAGTGCGAGTTGAATGGATTAATTTCATACTAAAGAATATGAGTTGAAATCCAATGTAAGTATGATATAACTTCCATTCTTTAAATTACTAATCAACAATTTCTTTAGTTGGTAAAGAATATATAATCACTTCAAGATTTCATTTTAGATTTGTTGATTCTATGTATATTTGGTTTTATGACATTAAAATATCAGCTCATACATTGAAGATTTTCATTTTGGATTTATTGATTCTTTGTATATGTCATATTTATATATGGTAATCCAAACATTTTATATTAGTAACAATCAAAGTTGTTATTCCTTTTCTATTGATGCAGGAGATGAAGTGTCAGTGTGATGAGAAAATGTTCAATTTTGTCTTTTGTAAATCTCTACAAAAATATTAAGTTTATTCATATGCTTTTGGCGGTTTCTGAATTAATTTGTGTTTTTATTTTTCAGGTCAGAAATTTCTTGGAAAAATGCAAAATATGGTCAAAGAATTCAACAACTTAGTTTTTTCAAGTTTTTTTTATTTTTTAATATATGTAAGCACAGTTAAAAACTTTTTACTAATTCCTTTGTATATACTTTTTGAACATTTAACTTTCATTTATGAAATATATGACGTTATTCCATTCAATATATGGTTGTGATTCAAAATATAGTATATAGCGTGTATTACATTCTTCAAATGCATATAACATGTGACCTTATCTGATTATTAATCACGTGTTTTATTATATATTAATCACACTTAAAATCTGTGATCTAAATGTTTATTATCACAAGTTTTATTAGTTATTAATCATACTTAAAAGATGTGATCTAAATGTTATTAATCACACTTAAAAGATGTGATCTAAATATTTTTAATCACACTTAAAAGGTGTCATCTAAATATTATTAATCACACTTAAAATGTGTAATCTAAATATTTTTAATCACACTTAAAAGGTGTGATCTAAATGTTATCAATCACACTTAAAAGGTGTGATCTAAATGTTTTTAATCACACTTAAAAGGTGCAATCTAAATCTTATCAATCACACTTAAAAAGTGTGATTAAAAATGACCCCTTTTAATCACACTCCCAAAGATCACACTTTAATAAAACTAAAAAGGTGTGATTAAATAACAAACATCACACAAAAAAAAGTGTGATCTTTATCTGTTTTTGTAGTAGTGCCGCAGGTTGTCCAACCCCTGATCACATACTTGCAGTATCCTCAAAGTCCAACAGCTCAGTGGTAACAGACTTTGCTGAGGTAGGCGGGAGGATGACCTCATTGTCGATCAAATCTTGCACTTCATGACGAAGGCGGAAACAACCATCGGTGCTATGACCGGACTGTTGGTGGTATGCGCAGTACAAGGCAGCATCATGTGAGAGAGGGAGATTCTTCGGGAGAGGCCGAGGCTCGTGGGGTTTAAGATGTCCCTTTTTAGCCAAAATTTGGAATGCCCTAGACAAAGGCATGTAGAGGGCGTGAAAGACTCTGTGCCCTCGAGGCAGGTACATCGAAGTCTGAGGGTTCTTGCTAGGTGCACTAGCAAAAGGGTCGGCAGGCACTGCCTTGGCTTTCTGATCTTTTCCTGGTGCATGGTTGGGAATGAAAGGAACTGCCTTGGCATGGTGGGACCTATCCCGATTTTCCCCTGGCTTGAACTGCCTTCGATTGGAGTGGGGAAAGCATCATCCACAGCTTTAGCCACAACTGCGAATACTTGCTGTTTATTCATCCCCCCGGCTTTCAAAGCCTCGACTGCCCACAGCAGTTGCTTAACAGGATCAGCATCTGTTCTCACTTTATTCTTACCTCTAGCCTCAGCCTGGTCAAGGGTTTGGGTTGTGTAGACACCCCATTTTTGACCGCCCTTAAGACTTGGGCACCACTGATGTTTTGCTTGGCGGAGAAAGGTGTGCAGGGCAAATGTTTAGTTTCTTCGGCAAGGAGCGAGGCAAATCCTTCAAAACACTTTGTTTCGGGGTTTGGAGTTGAAGAAAGGAGGGGAAGAGAGAAGAAACCAAGTTGGAGGAGAAGACGGGCATGAATCCGGGTAGAAGCGAGTCGAGCAACCCTCGCTGAATCGGGCTTATCTATCTGTACACTTGGAGTTTAGCTATGGGGCCACCACCGTCGGAAAGCTTACTTCCGGGGCTTCATTTTGCACTCAAGAATCTCTTAAGGCCAAGTCCGGGTGGGGGAGATATGATTGGTTGAAGTTGGGTATCATCCCGGTTGGATCGAATCTGCGCGGCTTCACAAAAAAGGGCATAACGTTTTGCACAGAAGGAATTTTAATGCAAGGTTTGTGCCATTGGAAAGCTAACTTCCGGGGCTTCAATTTGAACAACAACTGGCTGTTTTTTGACCTTACCGGCCATCCACCGGCACTATATTTATCCGACCGGCCAGTATAAATTGCAGGTCGGCAATATATTGTGCCGACCGGCCATTTATTTTGCCGATGACCTCCTTTCATGGCCGATATGCCCCTTTTTCATCCCTCAAGCATGGTGCATGCCAGCTGTGCCAGCTGGGATGCACAGACCCTACTCCACGTGCATATATGTGGCTATTTTGCACCCTTTGCACACCCTTTGGCCCCTTTTCTTGCACCCTTTGCTCAAGGCTTCTTGAGGAAGCCTTGACCCCTTGTCTTGGCTTCCCCAAGAAGCTTACCAGCTGTCCAAGCTTCTCCAATAAGCCTTGACCTCCCCTTTAAACCCCTTTGACCCTTTGAAGCTTGTCTTAGAAGCTTAGCATTGCTTATATAAGCACCTCTCCTCCTCCTTTGTTTAGGTTGGATTTTTGGAACAAAAAAAACAGAGATATATAGATATATCTGATATACATACACACAACCCTTGATCTCTCTCTATATCTCTCTCATTCAACCATCAAATACCCTTGTTCTTGGGCCATTTCTTTATCAACTCATAGCACAAGGCATCCAACGCCCATTCCAGCAGCTTGAGGCTGTTCTCCAGAGCTTAGGAGCACCTAAACTTGGTCCAAGAGGTGCTGGTTCATTGGTCTACAAAGGTGAGTCCTCTTCTTCCCTTTTCTAGCCTATTCTTGCATCATATCTAAGCCATAGTTGCTTGCATCTTTGGGCTCCGACCCAAACTGTAACCCATCATATTTTGAGGTCCTCTTCATGTTTGATTGAGGACCTCTTGCTGTTTGAGGACAGTAGCTTGCACTTGCTTCAATATCCTCCTTGAATGCCATAATCTTGCATAGAATTTTTGGCTTGCGTGTGATCTGTTTTAGAGCCTGATGTAAACTGTGAATTGGTTTGGGTAGATTATTTTGGGTCTTCTTCAATTCTGATTCTGAAAATTTTGGTTCATCTATTTGGTGAGGTCTTTCCTCTTATTTATTTGTGATTATTTGGAATTCACCTAAGGGTGATTTTGTAAGATCATTCGTGTCTCGTTTGTAATCGTTTGAAAACTCTTTGGTTGATAGTGAAATCGAATTTCGATCCTATGGATGTACCTCACATTGAGGAAACTACGTAAAAAATTTTGTGTTGCTGTTGATTTAATTTTTCCACATTAGTTTTTATTCCGATTGATTGATTTACTTGTGGGAAATCATATATTTTCCCTAACAGAAAGAAAGAGGGATTGATGGGTTTTGAAGAGGGTACTGATTTAGTGGGAAAGTGTGGGAAAATCATGTTTGTGAAAGTTCTTTATGTGGATTTTCTTGATTGATTGTTGTTGGGTGTCTTGGCAGTTTAATGGGTTTTTGAAAATGGAAAGAATGACTGATGGGCTTTGAGAGTATTGATTTGGGAATATATGAATTCTTAGTTTGTTTGATGAGAAAATATGGGAAAATCGTGTTTAGGAAAGCTTGTAATGTTAATTTATTGAGCGATTCTTTGTTGGGTTTTTGATGAACAGTTTATTGGGGATTTCAGCGATGAAGAATGAAAAAGGGAGAGAAGGACTAATGAGCTTTGATTTGGGGTGGTTGGGAACATATATGAACTCTTAGTTTGTTTGATGGGAAAAAGTGAGAAAATCTTTGGTAGTGTTTGGTAGAGTTTTAGAATTATGATTTGAGAATAGAGTTGTATTTTGAGTTTGTGAATTTTTGAATTATGATTTAAGTAAGAAAAATTTGTTTGATTACGAGTTTTGAAGAGAGTTTTGAATTAAGTTTGAAATTTTTGATGTGACATATGATATTTGATTTAAAAATTTACAACTCATAACCAAATACACAACCCAATATTCTATTCAAAACTCATAAAAAAAA